GATTGACCCTAAATACAGCTAAGGACCCCTGATCCTGGTGAGGATTCCTGCTGGCTGATCCTGGTGAGGATTCCTGCTGAATCAATGGGTCCTCAATGGATTCCTTTCTTCTATTCCAGATTCTTATACTAAAGGAGAAATCTCTACCAATACTAAACAGTTGAAAACAGTCTTTTTTTCTATTCGAGGTCTTTCAGGGGGGGGGGGGCCCCCCCCTTACAAATCAGAGGTGGACATTAGGTTGGAGGCCATGGCTAGTAACGAGGCCATCGCTAGTCGGAAGGACATGCGTTTTCGACGCGCGCGCTTCGCCCGGCCCCTCTCAGGTGCCTGTGACCTTGGCCAACCGCGCAGCCTTGGCCGCTGAGCTGCACCGCAGCGTCGGGGCTTCGGTGGTGCTCAGCGGCGCCGATGTGAGCCGCGTGGGGCTCTCGGAAGCGCAGGCAGAGCGGTACACGGCTGGGGGAGGTGAAGACAAATGGAAGGTCCCTATAAGAATCCAAAGAAATGACCCGGTCCGAAAATGAGACATGTGACATGACGAATACGCATGATCCTATTCAAACAAAAAGGGATAGTATAAATCTGTGCCCATTTTTGGAGGTGCGAACTGAGACTCCAGGTACTTTCGGAGTATTGATTTTGATCTATACTTTTGAGCGATGTTTGACGCAACCATCTTAAAAAAGAAAGCACGCCAGTCCCATGGGATGACAAATCTTTCAGTCCCATGGATTGTTTGGGGTTGAATTGACTTCAAGGGTTTATATACGAATCAGTTTTGTGAATTAGATGCCTTCATTGGATCCAGTGGCTCAAGGTGACTCCGGGTTGTACGACCCGCACGATGCTCGTCTTTGTGCAACTCTGAAGGCGATGAAGAAGATCCTGAGTTCGGAACCACATTGCATTCCACCTGATGTTTTGCTATTGGATGAGCTGGCATGCAATACCATAGAATCTTGCCTTTGTGGATATTGGGTGAAAGCTTGCAGTGGTTCTACAACAGGGTATTGAAGACTTTTTTTCTATGTTTGAGACTTTGGATGGGACAGTGTACAGAGTTTGCAACCCTTGCGACACATCCGACACAATGGAAAATTGGTTTGTTCTTGTTTGTTCGCAGACACCTGTCTCCAAAAGAATCGATGCTATCGGGGGAGAAAATGTGTACAAGTACAAACAGAGGTCCTCAATTAAAGTGAATCAACGTTTGTGCCTCATGTTTATCGAAACATTCGTAGAAGTGGGCTGGATAGATAAGAACAATATCTCGAATGTTTTCAATGTGTTTCAGTCACATGTACCATGTTGCTTACAACAGGCAAGTATCCACAGTTTCTATAGTCAAACATTTCAGGGTAAGACACTTGGCTGTCAATGGTTGTACATGTTTGTTGTATTTTCCTCTTTCCTTTCCATCTGAGATGCAGCAAGGAGAATGCGCGAAATACCCTGGCCATCATCCGAAAGCACGTGCCGACCGTTGTCGCTTGTTGAACACTGGGAGGTACACCACGGCTCGGCAAGGGTGGAGACAAGTGCCTGTACCTGGTTTTGCCTACGGTGATTGTGATGTTCCATATGGGGGAAGCCAAGAGTTTCTGATGGCTTTCCGGTTCCTTAATTAAGCAAATCCAAAAGACTAGTGCTGTAGGAATCTTCAGGGGACTTTAGGGAGGTGGTTCTTCGAGATAGCCCCCCTCCAAACCCTGTTGTCCTATCGACCGCTTGGTGATGGTTGCTGTTGGTTCCGCTTGACTTTGGAGGTCTACATCAAAAGTCATACTGGAAACTTTCACAGCTTTAAGCAGCTTCAGCTCCACTTCCGGTCTAAAAAACTCCGGTCGGGATCAGCGGTGTTGTTCCAACTCAGGCGACTGCGGACATCAAGGTCTACTTGGTAACGTCTGACTTCCACTGCCCACGTTCGGAGTTTATTTTCAGGAGCAGCGCGTTTTGCGCGTTTGGTGCGAGTCGGGATGAGCTGATCAGAGAAATCTGGATGTTCAGAAATCTCTCAATCTCTCCCTGGTTCAAAAAGTGTTCAAAAGAGTTCCCAGACACTCCATGGGACTGGACTGATATATGCCTACATTGACCCTGGGTCTGGCCCACCCCAATGTAAATATGGAAGTCCCGTGAAGTGGGGCTGGGTACTACCTTTAAGCCCAAAAGGTGTTGGGCGGTGAGTTTTCCAAGATTCTTGTGCAGTTGGAAGTCAACCTTGTCTAGCAGCTTGCCCTTTGTCTCACTAGCAGTCACTAGCATGGAAGTCGATGGCCTAGTTGGAAGTGGTCTTGTAAAGAGCTTGTAGCTCTTGCCCTTTGCTTGGCTCGCTGTCTTTACTAGGAATGTCTTCGAAGCGGAGGGCGCTGGCGATCTGCAACTGGAGTCGTGCCCAGCCTTCAGCGCGCTCACGGATGACATCTCTGAGAGTCCGGATAAAGAGGCTCAGTTGCATCTTTGGGGGAGCGGAGTGACTTGCATCTTTATATCCCCTAGGGATTCACTGCCACCCCCCTGAGATACGGTAGATGTGTTCGACACTGTTATGTACTCGTAGGTGCCAACACGTCGGTCCAGTTTTACCGAACCTGAGGGAGTATGTGGATCCATAAAAATCGAGGAATAATGGAGAGTGGATGGTACAAGGGCCCCTGAGTTTGGTGCTTTGCGTGGACCCACGTCTGTCTAAGACATCTTTGGGTGCCAGTGCCATCGAACCTCTGAAACCACTGTAAATAGATGGTGAGTGGGGAGAAGTTAAACCATCCAGTAGAAGGGATGTTCAAATGTTCTACCTAGTTGGATGTAGCTCATTAATATGTATTATACGATTGCTTGGCACTGCCACATGTCTTTTGTTTTGTTTGGACACTTGTGGGTGAACCTGTGGGTGAACATGAAAATTCTGCGGCGTTTCAGAGGGAAGTACCAGGGCTAGCCATGTGGGAAGACATGCCTCAGAGCGAATGCCCAGGAGATGCTCAGTGATTTCAAGCTTCACAAGAAGATGAAGGACATCAATGAATGGGGTATCTTTACTCGGCTTTGCCACGAGCAGGCCTTGATGACCAACAAAATGAGGCCGTGGCTTCGTGAGTCACGTGGTTTTGCATGGTTTTGCAGTTTTCTGATAATTTTATGTTCAATCCACTTCTGGGGAAAGTTGTCTTTTTTTTCTGGATTTCCTGGACAGCAAATCCGAGTACAGGAGATATCGTAGGGGTTCGCCCAAAATGGTTGTTGGGATTTGAGCCAGAAGTTCTGAAGCGGCTGTATCAACATCAACCGAGGTATGGTGTGGAAAAACAAGATCCCAGACATTTTGACCGGGCCATGGAACAGCTTGCCGATCAGTTAGACCAAGCACGCAAAGGTGAATATCTCAAATCCGGTCGAAGCTGAGAAAGAAGTTCTGGCGCAGCTGAGGGACGGGGTTGAATACATCCATGACCATCATCCATCATCATCCATCATCGAAAAACAAAAAAAACAAATCAGAGAACTGGCTTGCATTGGGAAATGGATGGAAACGGATGATCCCTGAGAATTGACGTCGCGGTTTCCGCCTGAGTACAATTCCTGTGTTTTTTTGGGGGTTCCAGATTCATTTGCAGGGGGTGTTCTGATACGTACGATGAGTTTGATGAATGGTCCACCACGGGCATGGCGGCCGGGCATCTATGTAGATCCGCGCCACACGTGTTTCTCCATGTTGACATGATCCTACTCCGGCCAAGGTTGACTCAAAGTATGCAGCTAAATAATGCGAGGCCATGTAAGGCAAGGCCAACCAGACCCTGGTGTTTCTTGATTCTGGGCGAGAGACATTGGCAAAAGATGAACATCGTTCAATGAAAAGGGCTTATCGCGCTGCGGTAGCAATTTGCTCGGATCAAGGTTCTGTTACATTTAGTATCCCGGAACTTGTCGCACGATGAGCCACACTTCAATGAAAATAGAAACAAAAGACAACAGCAACGCATGGAGAAAACGTCAGTTTTTTTTTCCAATGGCGGCTTGTCTTGACACATTCCTGCGACCTATTTTCTTGGCGAAGCGATGGCGATGGCGACCTTCATCGCATGCTTGGGTCAACAGCTTGCGCCAGATGGTTCTGCAACTCGCTCCTTCACCTTGGACCGTTGCAAAACAGAACGGAGCACCGCAGATGTCCACGATCTCCGTTCCAGAAAAAAATCAGATGATGCAGACACCTTCAACAGGCCTTAAACCGTCCCGTTTCGTGGGTCAAGCAAGTGCCACCCCGGCGAAGAACCCCCTCTTCATAAGGGACAAGTCGCCCTAGCCTTCAAAGACCATTTTGAAGAAGGATACCTGGTTAAAATGGTGTAACATCCATTCATAAATCAATGTAAAACCATGGTGGTTCAGTAAAGGCGATTTGAATCCTAGGGGGTAGGCTTAGCCCAGCTGGCACATCTTCCTGCCTAGTCTACACCCATGAATTGAACATGGGGCGAAACAGGTAGGCATTCCATGGGACTGCCACATCTACCTATAGAAGAAGTCGTCCGCCCTTTTCGTCAAGGTACCCTTGACGTTGGCCAATCGCGCTGCAAGGGCAGCTCAACTCCACAAGAGTCTGGGCGAAAACGATGGGTTGATGGCCGCTCGCTGGTTTTTGTCGGGCCACACTGAGGAAGCCTGCAATTGGGAACATCTGTGCGACCGTCCGCCGAATCGTCACATGACGCGATGGGTAGAACTGGTGGAACGTTGGCGAAGCTTTATCCAGGGAAACGGCTCGGATTGTAGGGGCCACACAGCGGGTTCCGGAGCGGTGGGCTGAATGGGTTGCAGCGGCTTGCAGCCGGTCCATCCCAAAAACGACCCACCAAACTGGGTGGTGCTGCGAGTCCAGATCATGATCCCAGACTGGTGGTTCACATATACATGATTCTGCTGGCTGGGGAATTTGGGATTCTACCTGTGGGTGAACTTGGGTGAATCCCCTTCTGAGCATTTTTAGTCTTTCCCGGCCTCCTGGATTTTTCAATCCAAGTATAGGGGTGTCGCCCAAAATGGTAGTTGGGATTCGAGCCAGGAGTTCTGAAGAGGCTGGATCAATCAACATCAACCGAGGACTCTGGGTGCTTCCATCATTTTGAGCGGTGCTGATGCCACTCAGACTGGACCGAAGAAGGAAGACGGCGAGAGACAGGTTCTACTTGGGACGTCCCACGGGGCCAGGACCTGACAAACGTCATGAGGCGTTCCATGTTCCTGAAGAAGAGGGGGGGTTGTACCTTACATGACCCGAACAAAAAGACAAGCTTAGATTGATCTACCATGATCGTTCCAAGGTACGAACCGGTCGACTCCAAGTTCTTGCATGTCTGATTGTCTGATTCCCGAGGTACTCAACGAAAGATGTTGAAGATTAGAGGCAGACGTTCGAACAACATGCAATGCATGTGTATGTGTGTGTGTATGTATGTATGTATGTATCTCCCAAACACTCCATATGTTGACCGGCATATTTACTAAGGTTGGGGTGCACATAGCGTGCGTGTGTGTGTGTGTGGGTGTTTCAGGCAGGTCCGTGCAGGACCGCCACCAAAACATGCTGTCGAAGAGACCATGATTTTCCTCAACTCGTGTGAACTCTTTTTCTCCGGAACTTGCCGTTTTGCCCAGATGCTCCTGGACCCGAATCCTTTTGGAGGGATGGGTCCCTCATATGGAAAAAGTCTGGTGTCTCATATCCGGTTTGGAGCATTTGGGTGGCGCTCACCTGGCGAATCCATCACTACTCGTCACGGGGTAACATCCAACCCAGGACAAGTGGATAACCCTCAAGCGTTTTTGGGGATTGGTTTAGAAATGAGTCATGACTGGATTCTTAAGGGCTGGGCGTGGGTCAAGGCTTTCGTTGAAAGCCACAGCCTTATAGTAGCTTTTTCATGTCTGGAGTTCAGGTTGATGCTGGAGGTTGACTGTCAAGAAAATCTGCAACAAGTTCTGATCACCACTGATCACCGTTGGGGGAAAAACACAACATGGGCGAAACACACACACACACACATACAAACCTCAGTTGCCAACAAGATGCTGTAGCAGCAGCGCAGCTTCAGGAAAGGTCTAGAGTCTAGATCCAGCCATGGTATTCTAAAAAGCATCATTTGCTTCCAGCAGTTCTTTCTTTCTGAGAGTCTCTAGTCTAACTGTGGGTTCTGCCGCACACCCAAAGCTCTCGTGTCTATTCAGAGGAAGGAAGGAACATCATACATGGAGTGAACCATTTGATCTCACTCCCCCGCAAACTAACATAGAACCTGAGAAAAGACCTGTGGAAGACCATCTTCCTCTACAACCCAGTGGTTTTGGGTTTCCATGTTAATCTGCAGGGGTGTAATTATACACCAACACCCGGCCATTGTGAATAGTGTGTCTCCAAACAAGAATCGACCCCGTTCGAAGCTTCTTAGTGCCTGGTAAGCGGTGCGCGGTCAATCGCAGTCAGTGGCATGAGGTTAGTAAGGTGGGCATCACTGAAGCACAGGTGCGACGGGGTTGGACTGGCTGGGTGATCGACCACAATCACGGCCCGTGCTTGCGGCAAATGTGCTTCTTATGTCGACCCTGCTAGAGAAGCCCAAAGAGAGCTATTTGGATCTATACCCATGCACGGGAATGAAACACATGCATGGGAACTAATGTGCTCAAACGATTCTTTAACGCTTTCAGGCCTGACAATGGAGAATTGACAATGTTTATCATTATTCTAGAATGTAGTATTTGTGAAAACCCAGAAGATTTAAGAGAACACTTTGAAGTAGAGCATCCAGTCACCCTGTTCCCACACACTGACCCCTGCCAACCCTGTTTTCATCATCGTGCCCAAACAAGGTTAATTTGGTCAATGCAACGCGTCATGGCCCTAAATGTATACAGTAAAACTTATTGTAGAAACTTTCCTTGTCAATGTTGCTAATTACTCTTCCAACGCTACAAGTCTCGCAGATGGGGTTCTGAAGCCGTCTACGAATGTCAACACGTATAATTACTTCATGCATGACGTGCCCGTTGGGGATCAAATCAAATTTGTGGTCCGTAGGTCGTAGAGTCGTAGGATGCCCTCGCAGCTCTCTTGCAAATCTATTCTCAACCCAAGATCAGGAGCACACAGCGAACTTGAGAAACATATCGTTTTCTTGACATATTCCTCAGCTGGGATGGTGCACTGAAACAACAAAACCGGCATTCGTTCAACCTGAGACCTCGTGGATAGAGACCGGATTCAGGTCAGATGAAAGGTCATCAAACTTAATGTGTTCTTTGCTAGCGCCCCGGGTCGCCCCGGGTCGCCCCCTTGATTTCGTGGGTTGAATCCCGATTTCACCCTTGTTTGACCAAGGATTCTCCATCGAATTCTGGTTTTCCTCGGCTTTTTCGGGATGTGGGCGACCAGGCCATGAAGAGGATCCTTTCATCAGCGCCATATTCCGTGGCGCCTGAAGCATTGCTCCTGGACGAGTCCGCGCAGAATACCATCGAGCCGCGGTCCGAAACGAGTTGGATGGTAGCTCCGACGGTGAAAAGCCGTGCTTCACAGGGTAAATTTGTTTTGCTCAGTGGTTCACCAAGCGTTCCACTGATTACAAAGGTTCACACGTGCTTACACAGAGTGTTTCTCTTTAGCTGATATATCCAGGAACAAGACAGGGGACCTAGCCTAGAGGTTCATCCAAACATCAGCAGTCAGCACCGTGCTTGTGAATTGTTGGTTGGCGAAAACACAAGTCTTCAGAATCAATTCCCAGAGCAGCGGCAAGCTTGATGGTACCTTGATCATCATCATGTTCGACGATGATTCCAACTGCAGGTTCTGAACGGAACTGTGGCTCTGGTCATAATAAATACCTGGAGTCTCAAAGTACCTCAGAAAATGGGTATAAGTACCTTTTAAAAAATAGGGTCATGATCATGCTCATGGTCATGTCATGTCCCATTTTCTAAGGTACTTTGGTGTGTCCAGGTATGTACCAATTCCCTCACACGGCGCATGAACGAAGGATCCCTGGTCACCGAAGAAAAACACATCGAAGGATCTAGGGATCGGACGTTTGTGGTCAGTGGTCAGTGTGAGTGGTGTGGGTCTGGCCATTGGCTCTGGCCATCTGTTCGTTGGGTCGTCATCAGCGTTCCTACTCGTCCCGACTCATGGACGACCGGGGGCGACGCGGGTTCTAAGCCGACTCGGTTCATCGAGTGTCCACCTGGCGAAGAGGACGACCATCCAGGTGAACACCCATCCAGTTTCCGCTCCACCGGTACCGTTCCAGCGGACCCGGTGTGACCTGGGGGCAGTGACGAGTGGAAGATGTGGCTGGCACGTGAGTGGCTTGGTGTAGCAGGAGGTGGCTGATGGATGGACTTCATGGCCCAACTCACTTCCATAAGGGTGAAACATGGTGAAACTGAAGGGTTCAAGGATGGTCGAGGTTGGTTGTATAAAGTGTCCAGTCGCATGGAGGAAATGGGATGTGTTCTTTTAAGTCAAACGGAGAGACAGCGTCTGGTGGAAGATGTATACCGTTTGGTGGAGTTCTACCCAGTGAGTGGATTTGCTAAGACCTTTTGGGGAGATGCATGTCCGCAGCTATGTATGAAGGAAAGTGCGGTTCATCTCTATGTTCCAGACCCTATGGATCCACATACCTTCTGAGAAGGTAATTGGACCCTACATGAATAGTCTCCAATCACCTTCTCAGGTTCGGTATGTGGATCCATAGGGAGCAACAATGAGGGGATCAGTCAGTAGAAAGTGTCTCCAACTTGTTATATATCTCGTGAACCGGCCATGAAAGACCGACCAAGATCTGACCGTTTCCATTGTGGAAAAGCAGCTCCAAGGAGAATGCGCGCAATACCTTGTCCATCATCAGAGAGCACACTTCGGGAATTGTCTCTCAGCTACATCCAGTACAAGTAGCCGAAAAATCTCAGCTACAATCCATGCAGCTACCTCCAAAACAGCTTGGTGACTTGTAAATGGAATTTAAGGGTAGAGCCTGGATCACCCTGTGCTTGAGCGAAATCAAAATTCATGGCTCAGGCAAGTAACCACCCACTGCATGACTGCATGGCTGTTGGCGGCACCAGCGCAAGAGTCAATGATTCGGATATGAAACTAGTAGGGTTCACCTGGGCTACAGGGCCCGCTGCAATGGGTGTGGATTGCTTCGACCCTGGACCCTGATGTTTCCCAGCTCCAAGGACCTTCGTTTCGAAGATGGAACTGGGGTGGGTGCCTGGAGGGTCCAGTCAGACCTTCTGAGGCACAACTGGGAGCCCTAGAATGTTGATTTTTACGGCGGGTCTCGTTTTTTGAGTCCTGTTCCGGAGTGTTGGATTCATAGACCGTATACGCCCTCCCAGCGAGACACGACGCCAGCCCACCATGCCACGGTCACCGCTCACGTCCCGCTCACGTTCCGCGCCACGTCACAACGCCCACCCGTCTGGCGGCGTGGCAGTGACTGATCACCCGAAGACGACCTATTTACTAAACAAACCAAATAGCCAAAAGGCAAAACAATGATTCCATAAACCAGGAGTCACATGTCGGGGTGCCGAACTTGGAGGAAGTCGGGGTGCCCCTGTCACATCCACTCACTGGATGGGACCAAACACCACCCCTTTGTGACCCCTGGAAAACCTGGATTCTTCATTTCATGACCTATCTTGATACTATTCTGCTACTCTAGAGGTCATTAGGGCCTACAAGAGGTCACGACTCCAAAAAGGGTAGAAGCTGAAAAGGTCGGACAGAAGGGAGATGAAGGGATGGAAGACTTGGGTTCGTCGAGGACAGTGGCATCAAGATGTACTTGGTGACTTCTGAGTTCCACTGCCCACGTTCGGAGTTTATCTTCAGGACAGGTGTCGGTGGGGTGAGGCTGTCAGGCGATGGAGGCTTAGAGGGTGGCTGTCCCAATCTTGCTACCCCCGTTACGGTCCTCCACCGACGTCCAAAAGACATTGAACATCAATGCCCAACCACTCCATGTAGAGTATGCCATACCTACAACCTCCGGTCGTGCGAAATTATCGCTCGAAGTTGAAACATTGTGTTTTTTTGGCGTTTGCAATTATTTTAGTTCGTTTGTTTTTTTTTGGTTCGTTTGATTTATCTTTGATGAACACAGCTTCATTATGTTCCTTCTCGCCTGCAGCCTCGCCGCTTTCCCACCCCCAAGGTTCTGACTGAACATCCAAAGAATGATGCAACATAGAAAGGTTGAGGTCGGGCCCTCACATGCTCAAACAAATCGGGCCCTGACTGAACATTGGTCCCTTCCCACGGTCAAGACTCAAGACCTCTTTTTCCAGCCAACCCGTCAGTGCCAATCACAGCACTCAATCCAATTGGTTCTCCTTTACAAAGCGTTGATGCATCAAACGAGATTTCATGAAACAACACTCAAGGACACGTTGCCCAATCCTCCGACTGTCAAGTCGCCTGGACAGGCGACACACTCGTCCTATGTAATCTTCGTTTTGCTCGCAGTTGTGCACGTTGTAATTTGGCAGAATCTCCAAACCTGCTGCCAGCCACTCATGCATTTCAAGATGAGCGTGCTTCATGAGATGGAGCTTGGGCTTCACAGCCCAACCATTGAATTGGTCGTTCAAGCACCTGCTTGCTAGCATCCCGTAGCCAACAACAAATTTTGTCAGCTCAACCTGCGCAGCCATTGCACACGGCCTCCGGAGCGAAGTAGTCAACTGCAGCCAAGCAGGTCTGGCGCATCAGCTTCAAGTCAACAACATGAGCTGGATTGAGCGGAGCATTGATGAAGCCAGCGCACTGAACAGCAATGAAGGACAGCAAAACCATGGTGTCACTGCCCTTCGTGTTTGCCCACGGGTATGCACTAAACCGTGGGTACATGAAAAGGGCGCGGCTGAATGAGCGCAAAGCAGCTGTGCGGCCAACCGTAGTGCAGTACAATCTAAAAATCCCGTGGCATGTTTCCAGCTTGGCTGAAAAGTCCCCAGCATTGCCGTAGTACTGCTTGGCGACAAGCCAACAAATACAGCTGCCAGCTAGATCCCGATAGATGCCAACTTTGGCACAATGGAATGGATCTCTCTTGAACTGTTTTTCAGGCGCTCTCCGACAGAACGGCACTTCAATCACACAAGGAGGCACTGACCAAGGTCGCTGCGTATATCTTGAATTTGCCCAAACAGGATTCTCGCTCAAGTCTTCCCATGTAAGAGCTCCTGAGCCACCCATGCACTCATGGCAACAAGGTCTGTCACGGACCCTGCCCTGATTTTGAAATGACCGTTCCAAAGCGATCTTGCAAAACCACTTCAAATCTCCTTTGGCTGCGATCAGAGCAAAGCAGAACTGCTTACCTCCAATGGTCAAGCCCTCAAAGAAGAGCCGTTTGAAGTCAAGAGATATCAGCTTCAACATCTCAGGCAGCACCTGTGGGTGTGCATGGTGCACCACACTGGGAATGATGAAGAGCGCAAAGTGCTGAAGAAAACTGTGACCTTTCATGTTCGTCCACTGACAATCCAAGGCAGACAAAGTGCGAGCGTGCATCTCTTTGCGTTCTCTGTGGTACTTCTGCTTCATAGAGTCCGGAGGGTTGCACCCACACCCGCATCCAGCAGTATCAGTATGTTTCCTTTTTTTCTGTAGCGCAGTTTGAATGCCTATCGGCGATTCCAGCGAAACGACAACTGTATTCCCTCGTCGCTTGCCTCTCCCCTCATCTCCATGCCAGCACAATGGGATCACTCTCGACAGGGAACCGCCATGCTCCTCAAACACCATATGGTCGCCATGATGCAGCCTGAAACCCTGCCAAAAAGCATCAAGGTGTTGCGCCCTTTCTTGGGGACACTGCAAGCCTCCAACCAACACATCCACGTGTTTCTCCAAGAGGTATTGCAGCAAAGATATAGGGGAAACATAAGTCATGGGAACCACTTCTCCAGAAGGTGCTCGATAGTCATAGTTGCTAAGCTTCACATTCCAAGAAATCCCCATCCGCCTGAATGTATTCCAGCATGTTCTGGAAACATTCTTTTTCCAACCACTAGTGGCCGGGGCATCTTTGCTAGATGTGTAGCCCCGCCGGATGGCTTCTGCAGTTGTGCATGGGACCTCAGCCCGGCTTGGGAAAGATTTGACTTCAAAATCTGGTGTGGGAATCCTGGATCATTGTACAAAACATTGACTTTGGGCCTTGCCCAGGTGAAATAAGAAATTCCAACTCCCACATGTTAGGGCGCATAATGTCTCGTGTTTGAGCTAAGTTGAGGGCCCCATCAGCCACTGCATCGGCAACAGCTTTTAACCCATCATGTGGTTCGTCTTGTTCAACACCTGGCTCACTGTGTCATCGGAGAAGCTAAACACCTATCAAAACAAGTGGCACTAAAGGATCCGCTTCATTTGTTTCTCTCACGGCCGGCCACGAAAGCCTGAGACAGCTGCACCCCTGTCTTAGTGGATTGCCCTCACACCGCGTGAAGGATGAAAGCCGCTGTTTCGAAAAAAACAGGCGGTGAAAAGTCACATGCCAAAAGAGGATCGTCTCTCACAACCAAGGTGCTATGTGTGAACATGTAAAAGTACATTGCTTTGTTCTTTTTGGAGACTGCCCCCAGCATGGAAACCCCAGCAAGTGAGCTTCGAGCACATTGCACGTCTAGAAAATAACACGTTCAACAGAAGAAAAACCCTGCAACTCATACCATTCTTTTAGAACAACCACTGGTGTAAGCATACAAACAGATACTTTGCTGATAACCGCTTAACTTGTTTGAAACAAAGCTCACTTTCTTACCCGCTTGGGTCTGGAACCTTTTGGCTCGCTTTCACCCTGAGGCCCGCTACCTTTGGACTTGCTAGCTGCTGCTGCCTTTGCTTTGGCCCTAACTTTGGCCGCAGCCTCGGCACCCTTCCCCGCTCTCCTCAGCTTTCCCTTTGACCCGCCGGAAGTGGATCCTTTTGGAATGAATGGCCTGGGCAGCCGGGTGACGGGTGAGGAAGGTTTGAAGTCTTGGGGCGCATGCCAAGTACTGTCATTAGGAGTTTGCTAATTTAGCTAATAGTTACTATAGGGACAAGTTTCTCACTAAGAGCTTTGTCCAAACCATGTCTCTATCGTGCCAAAGCCATCGAAACACCAACGACCACCCATGCCAATCCAGGCCTCATCCGGCTTTCCAAGCTTAATGCATCCATTGCCCTCGCAAAGCTGAGGTAAGAGCGGTGTCAAACTATCACTGCATGGGGTTGAAACTTGTGTGAAGGTGTTTTCTGTCGAAACAGGACATCAAACAGATGCTTTCCCCTTCCAGTCTCAAAAATTGAACCGCCGGTAAAACAAGGCCTGCTCCGAGCTATCCCGTAAAGTAGGTCCAACTCGTTTTCAGACCTTGCAGATTTGGAGAAATAGGGAAACAGTAGGTTTGCAGGGCACTGTGCACCAAGGGTTGGAAAAGGGCGCTGTGAAAATAGCTGGGACACAGACGCATCACTAAATCCGTCGATCACGCCGTCATGATATTGTTTCTCAATTTTGCTGGAAATGTCGTTCAAGCCCTCGACCACCTCCTTGATCTTGAGCTGCATCCTTGCCAGATGCAAGGTAGCAGAAAGTCATGACTGGACACAACAATAATACATCACCTGCACCAGGTTAGAGCCGAAACTCTTCCGCTGTAAGTCTGAAAGGCGGTCAGCAGACAAGAACTTCTGATAGCCAAGGTCAAGCTTGGAGACCCGCTTGGCCAAGCAGATCCTTGGAGCCAGGAGAAGGCCCACACGGATCTTGGGAATGCTGGCTGCTGAAGGCGAAACAACAATCAACATGAATACACTTGAATCTGGCACCGGGCGATGTTCAACAATAGGAGTTATGTGCCAGCGCTTGAACCTTTTTTGGGCTAAGTGTCAGGAATTTTGGCGCCGCAGAGCTGTTCAATGCATCTACATGGATCTCTGGTATCCCTGCCTTTTTCCGTTCCTTCCCTGCGGCCTCTTCAGCCGCAAGCTCTTGAGGGTCGATCGAGTCCTCATATTCATCATCGTCATCATCACCTTGAAGGGTTAAGCAAATGAGCAGTTGAGTCTTTGGGGTTTTAACACAGAGTCACCATAATGACCTTTCTGAATTTAGAAGTAGGTGTGAGCATAGGAACATTCACCAACCCAGCCTTCTTGGGCTGATTGAGCCTCTTGGTAGGATGGAGCTCGGGAAACCATTTGACCCCTCTTGGGGGTGACCTTCGCCACCTGCACTGGGGGTGAACCCTTGCCACCCTTGCCCCCCTTAGCTTCAAGAGATGTGGGTGGAGCAGTTTGAAGCTGCACAGGCATCTTTCCCTCCAAGCACTCAGGAGCGTAGTCATCAAAGTTGGGAGGTTCCTGGGTCCACTGCATCCTGCGATTCATTGAGAGCTGGCTCATATGCCTAAGTGGGCAGCAGGAGGTGAAGGGAGTGCTAATACTAGTGCTAACATAACACAATGATTCCATTTTATCATGGGAGAATTGCGATGCGCTTAGTAAGGTACTTGTTCGCAGTCTTCACATGCATCTCCGCCCAATAGAACACCTTTTTCTCATACCTGCATGTCCTGCAAAGTCAGAAAAGAAATGTGAAACCAATCACCGGCACTAGATCAAACATGCTAGTAGGAAGTCCATGGAAAGTTCAACCAAAAAATATCATAGGGGTGGTGATTGGTTGCCCGTGTTCGAAGTCATTTGATTCCAAACTCGGTGGGCAGTCCTCATCAGAGTCTTAGGTGCCTTCTTAGCTTCAGAGATTATAGCAGCGATCTTGGGCCTTAAGGAGCGAGGGCATTTCTTTCATCAAGCTCGTAATGATCTAGTTTCAGTGACACTGGACATCACCCAATCAACCCAAGGCAAGTAACTCTGAGAATTTCAAGGTATCGCGCATGTACGACTCGGAAACAAATTCTCCTTCTATGGTCAAGGAGTTCTGGAGCATGTCCTGTCTCAGCAATTCACACTCCTCCACAAACACCTCCTTGCAGGGTTGGCAAGGTGCTCGATACAGTGACC